TAGGACCCAGAAAGGGTCCTGGTAGTGCAGGAGTGTCTGGAAAACTCGAAAGCAATTCTGCGAAACATCAAATCGTTCTCGCCCGTCTTTACTTTTAGAAATCTTACACGGGGATAGTTTTCCATCCTGGACTCAGAAAAATCTTAGAAGATCGAGAAGCGATGACAAATAACGACGAGTCGATGACGACGACGACGACGACGACGACGACGGCGGCGGCGGCAGCGGCGACGACGACGACAACGACGACGGATGTCACGGGAGACACAAGGGAGACAGGAGGGCGAGGAGTGGGAGAGGGGAGACCGCGAACGGATGTTTGAAGGCTCTTGGGGGTAGTTTGGGGGCATCTTGGGGCCTCTTTACGGCCTCTTGGGGACCTCTTGGGGCCTCTTTGGGGCCTTGTTCGGGCCTGCAGTCGCCTCCTGAGCCCCTCTTAGGACCGGCTTGGGGCCCTCCTGAGCCGTCTTGGGCGGCTCTCGGGCCGTCTTGGGGCGCTCTTGGGCCGTGTTCGGACCCTCTTGGGAGCTCCTTGGGCCGTCTTCGGGCGGTTTGGGGGGCCTCATGGGCCGTCTTGGACGCTGGGAAAGCCCGAATGTCGTAGATGCTGAAAGTGTAGGTTTGCCCAAAGGAATGGGACGATGTGTGCCTCGTGGGGCCCTCTTGAGGGGCCTCTTGGGGCCCTCTCGGGGCGTCTTGGTGGCCTCGTGGCTCTTCTTCGGACCATCCTGACGCATCTTGGAGCGCTCGCGAGGCGTCTAAGGCGGTCTTGAACTGGTCCAGGCGGCCGCTGGAGCCGTCCGGGAGCGCTCGGCCGGGGCCCCGCCCGGGAGCCATTGGGCCGGCCGCCCGGGCCCTCATGCCAACCCGAGGCGCCTCAAATACATGCACATACATCTACATACATTGATACATACATCCATCCGTGCATGCATGCATTCAACCACGCAAGCATACATTGCATGCATGCGTGCATGCATACATAATAATAATAATAATCATACACACGTACACACATACATACATACACACATGCATACACACATATACAAACATACATACATATGTATACATACATGAATACATACATATTTGTATACAGACAGACAGACAGACAGGCAGGCAGACAGACAGACAGACATATCGACAGACAGACATACATATTTGCATGCATGCCTACACATACAAATACATAACACATACACATGCACATACACATGCATGCATGCATACCTACCTACCTATCTACCTACTGGTCTACCTGTCTACATACATACGCACATGCGTGCATACGTGCATCCATGCAACCATACTGAAACATACATACATTTTTACGTACGTGCGAACTTGTGCACACAACTATACATGCCTGACTGCCTACCTACCTACCTACCTACCTACCTACATACATACATACATACATACATGCATGAGTACATACAAACATACGTACATGCATGCATACATACGTTCGTCTGACTGGTTTGGAGGTTGGGTGCGAAGAGGGCCGGTGAACCCGACCGTTTCAAACATGCTCCTGGACGGCCTGCATGGCTTCGAAATAGTTCTTAGGTGTTCCCTGACGATCCCAGATGGCACCCAATCGGCCTGACATGGCTTCAGTAGAGCCCACGGACCCTCCAAGACGCCACCCGAGGCTCCCAGAGAAGAGACCCCGTAAGAGGGCCCCAAGAAGCCAAACTTGTGCCATTCCTCGTGAAAGACTGACATTGTCTGGCAAAGTGGTTCGGAGGCCCTGTCCAGCAAGGCCCCAGGACGGTTTCACGAAGCCACGACGGTTTCAGGCGGCCCCGGGCCGGCCCAAGAGACGCCCCAAGCAGCCCAACAGGACCCCGACACGGGCTCAAAACTGCCCCAACTGGCCCCATGACGGCACAAAACTGTCCCAAGATGGCCCCAAGACGGCCCGCAAGGCGCCGCAGACGCCCCTGGAGGGCCTTCAGAGGGTCCGTAAACGCTGCAAGATGGCTCCCAAAGGATTCGCCTCGAAGGCCACTACAAGCCAGAAATTGCCCAGTCCTTTTGAAAAGTAACATTTTGGCAAACTGGTTCAAAGGCCCTGACAGGCGACTCCAGACGGACCAAGAGGCCTCCGCCAGGTCCCCACGACAGGTCCACAGTCTCATCAGACCCCCGAGGCCTAGTAAATCCACCGACCCCTTCGGGATGGCCAAGCGTGTGAAATAACTACCCTTGCCCTTCCCCATCTCAAAAATGCCTCCCTCCCAGGATCCCAAACTGCTCGATCGAGAGGAGGGTGCTGTCCCAGACGACGTTGCTCCAGGACGGTGCAAGTGCGCTCCAAGCGAATCCAACATTGTACCAGGACGGTCCAAAGCCTCGAGGGCAGCCCAAGACAACCCCACATTCATATAAACGGGTTGGCGGAGGTGGCGAAAACCTGTCTCTCTCGTGCTCCATCCTTGTCCCTTCCCTCCTTCCTTCCTTCCACTGTTTCAGGGGCTGCGGCAGGTAGGGATAATATACCCGCAGGAAGGTACCATCGAAGACGAAGAAGGCGGCTATCGAGGGTATGGGATATACGTGAAGAGCAAACAGCCTGCAAATGATTGTTGTTGTTGTTGCGGCTGCTGCTGCTGCTGGTGTTGGTGTTGGTGTTGTTGGTTGTTGATTGATGGTTGTTGTTGGTTGTTGTTGTTGTTGTTGTTGTTGTCGTCGTCGTCGTCGTCGTCGTCGTCGTCGTCGTCGTCGTCGTCGTCGTCGTCCCACTCGCGACCGGGCCCGCGAGACATCCGCGACCCGCCCGCGACCCTCCCGCGACCCACCCGCCACATCAATGTATGCTCAGCTCGATGCGGGGACACAACTTGAGCATCCCGCGAGCCTCGAGCCAAAAATTCGCCGGCCCAACGGGCCAGGGCGTGCTAAGATCTCCGGTACCTGGTTAACAATATTTCTAGTTCGCGCGCGCGGGGCGGCCCCTGGGGGTCCCCGGGCGAAAAGTACCCCGGCAAGGTCCCGGCAAGTCCCCGGCAAGGTCGGGTCAGAGATGCCGGAGTTCTGTTTCGGAGTCCAAGAGGGCTCCAGATCGGTCCAAGAGGGCCCCGAGAAGCTTTCTAGACGGTCCAAGAGAGGCCCGAGACGGCCAAAGATCGCCCGAAGACGCCCCAGATGGCCCCAAGACAGCCCAAGAGGCCTCCAAGACGCTCCAAGGGCCTTCCAAGAGGCCTCCGAAGAGGGCCCCAAGTTGCCAAAATCGTTGATTTTCATTGGTTTGTTTCTATGTTTTTTTGCGTTCTGGCCTTTTCGCTTCCGGACGCTCCAAGAGGGCCCAAGAGGCCTTCAAGACTGCTCCAAGACGGCCCACGAGGCTCCCAAGACGGCCCCGGAGCGGCCCAAGAGCGCCCCCCAGACGGCCCAAGTGCTGCCCAAGGCGGACCAAGAGGCCCCAAGACGGGCCCAAGAGGGGCTCAAGAAGGGAACCGAGAACTGAAAAATCGAGCCCTCCGCCCCAGAAGGCGCCCAGGACCCCGAAAGAGGCCCCAAGAGACTCTCCAAGACACCCCCAAGACGCCCCAATAAGCTCCCGTGAGGCCCCAAGAGGACCAACAACGTCAGGCCCCAGGCCCCAAGAGGACCAACAAATACCGCCAAGAGCCCTCCGAAAGCCCCCCAAGAGACCGTCACGAGAGCTCAGGAGGCCCCCTGGAGGCCTCCCGAGTTCTCCAAGAGGCCTAAAAAGAGGCGCCAAGAGGCCCCAAACGGCCCCAACGAGGCTCCACGAGGCCACGAACGCGCAAGCAAACGCCTGCGATGGCACAATACGGGCCGGCGGAATGAGCGAAGCGATTAAATAACAGACGTAAAAACCTCATGGCTTTTGACCCCCTTCGCTCCCAAATGGGAGCCAAGCAATACCAACTTGCTCGCGGGGACTGTGATCGTGACCTTGTGCGCCAATAAACGATCTGCATGCCAACCGATCCTCCCCAGACTCTAGCGCGCCCCCCGCCCCTTCGCACTGGCGAACACCGAACTCCCAAACGTCGCCCTGCACGACGCCAACTATCGAACCAGACGGCTCACACCCCTGGCCCCGTGACTGCCAAAATCTGGCACAGGATGAAAAGCTAGTCCCCTCGAGGGCGTCCAGACCTCTGGGCGTCTTGGAGCGATCTTGGGCTGAGCTTACTTGGATGCTCGTTGGCATGCCGTAGGAGTCCTCTGGGGGCTTCTTGGAAACAGGTTTGAAAACTCTTGAGGGCCGTCGGAAGTGGCAACAACTTCACACTTCGCGGCACCCCGAGTCCCGCTTGGGTCTTCGTTTGGACCCGCTGTGCGGGCTCCCCCAGCAGCCCTCGAAAACGGCGGCAACTTCACACTTTCGAGCCCCCCAGGGAGGGCGAGGCCCCGCTTGGGTCTGCGCGGGGCCCCACGGTGCGGGCTCCCCCAGCAGGCAGGCGCGGGCGCGCACATGCAGGCCAGAGGGGGGGGGACAAGAGGGCGGGAGGAGGAAGAGGCGAAGGCACTTGGCGACCCCCCTGCTCTGCTCCAAACGAAGTCAGGGGGGAACAAACACGCAGACACCATGACTCGTCGATTCCAGGAAATACAGGAAAAGATGGGAAGCGGGGGGGAAGACAAAACCCCAGGAAGTATGGGAAACGAAGGGGGATCCTGTTGTCTGTGTCTATTTGTCTGTGTGCCCCAGGGCCCCACTCACGAAGACCCAACCAGGGAAGGACTGGGACAGAAGCAGAGAGGACGCAGAAGGAAGGATCATCGAGCAGAGAGGGGCGGGGAAGGACGGGGAAGCAGGCCGCCCTCTGTCTGCCCGTGGCGCCAGACGAAGCTGCACGCGGAGCGGAGGAACCTCAGCGTGACGCGTCCGTGCGCCGCTGCCCTCCGCTCCGCCGCTGGGCCGGGTCTCTCGCCCTCGCCTGCAACACATCGGCTCACCAGGATTGCCGCGCTCCTCTTCTTCACCTCGAGCACATCCGACCAGCATGCGCAGAACATCATTCCATCCACGAGGTCCCGCGGTTCGGCCGGTTTGCAGTGCTGCGGCTCTTCTTCACGGTCTGCCTAAACAGCCTCAGGACAACTTGCCTGTCCCCGTGAAGAGTGAAGTGCCTTTGCTTGAACGCCTTGCGAAAACCTTCCACGGTGTCGAATTTCAGCACCTTAGCCGTGTCGCACAAACTCTTGACACTCGGGTGGACCTCCGCGTTGGCGATATTACAAAAACTAAAGGCTATACAGAATTCAAGAAAGCACCACCCTCGAGAAAAATAGCCTCTGCCCTCCGCAGTGTCGCTGCCCATGGGCAGGACTATCACGGGAATGCCCCCAATGCTGTAGAGCATTTCCATCGAGTCGAGCGCCCTCTTGAACCGCAGTTCCTCGCCCTGGTCGCGGACCGCTGGATGCTCCCCAGGCTTTGGCCATCTCCTCTCGCGCTCCAGGCGCTGCAAGTCCAGATCCTGGCCGTCGTGCTGGGGCAGCCCCGTGTAATCCATGAAAACGGCATCGTCGTCAGAGGCGCCCAGGAGATCCAGCTGATCAACCAAAGCTCGCAGCGTCTCCCCGCTGGGGTCTGGGTGAGCCTTCGAGAGCCATGGGTGCGACACGACGTACCTGTGCTTGGGATCGTCCCTGGAACTCGGCAGGCCTTCCCTGCCGACGACCGCCTCGGCAGTGGGCACAGCCTGGCAGCGCACCAGAGTGGAACCCGTGCTGGCCATCTGCCTCAGGTAGCGGCATCGAACCCATTGGATCTTGGCTTCATCAAGGTACGCAAGGAACTCCCCGTAGCACCGCTGCAGCTCCTCCGCGTTGAAGGAGTTGATGCTTTTGAAGGCCTCCACCGCCAGCCGCCGCAGCCACCGCGGCCCGACCAGGCCAGAGAGGAAAGCCACCTGCACGCAGTTGAAGGCGTTGTTCACGACGCCGGCCCAAGCACGGGCGTGAACCAAAAGGTAAAGGTCATCGGCAGCCCCAGTGAGAACTCCGTAAAAGAGGATCGCTTCCACGAATGACAGCAGGAGGGATGCCACGACGAGCACAGCTGTCCAGCGCACCCATAGAGCCGCCCGCGCCACCCCCCCCCCCCCTCGGGGCTGGAGCGCACGGCACGCGCGGCGTCTAGCAGGCCCCACGCCCCGCAGCAGGTCGTCGCCACGGTGGCGAGCATGGCCCCCAGCATGCCTATGTTAGGAGGCATACGTTAGAGCGATTCACGGGTCATCGAGCGTGACTTGGCCGGACTGGGCAATGGATTCAGCCTGAATGAGCGGCGTGATGCCGGATTGAGCGGGAATGAGCCAGATTTCAAAAACAGGGGGCTAAGCCAGAGTAGGCCGGTTTCCGACCAGGGATAGATCAGCGCCGATTCAGAATTGGACCTCCCAGGGGAGTTGCATGCTACTAGCCTATGCCACGCACCCAAGCCAGCACCGCCAGCACTGGCCCGCCCTCCCAGCCAGAGAATCCGAGGGTCGCGCCCCCACACCACGCCACGACGAATGCGGAGATGGCCGCCGCGCCCGCCAGGATCGCGGCCCGCGCCGCCCGCGCCTGGCGGTGGGCTCCCAGCGCGCGCAGCTTCAGCACGAGCAGGTGGTAGGGTATTCATTCGCCTGCTAATGAGGATCAGACTGCTGGGGGGCAGAGTCAGCCTAGGGAAAGCTCAGGAGCAGACCTGCTCTCAAAACACATCCTGCGCGGGCGAAGGATTTCCGACGAAATTCCCCAGGAGAAGCACATCAACATGGATTGAAGCACGTAGGACCTCGAACAAGAAAAATCCAGGGAATCGAGCCTACCTTCCCCCGACCCCCACAAGGCTGACCCACATTAGCAGGCGAAGGAGGTATCACAACGCTCGCGAAGTAGGCTGAGCCGTACACCCCCCTGCACGCGCTCAGCCACGCCGCACTCGCTGCGCCGCCGTAGCACCCGGGGTCCAACAAGGAGTGGGCGACCAGGCCGGCCACATGGACGGCGCCGGCGGCCCCGAAGCGCCACGTCCACGCGTGCAGCGGCACGGGGCGGTAGCGCCCTCGCACGGCGACGCACCACGCCGCGAAGGCCAGGGACGCGGGCGCGCTCACCGCGTACAGCGGCCAATAGTTGGCCCAATCCTCGCGGCCGCTGCTGCTGCCATCGTCGCTCCTACAGCATGGGCGCGAGCGGACCAGGTAGTTGGCCGCGGGCCCGCCGAGCGCCAGCAGCGCCAGGGCAAGCAGTGCCAACCAGGCGGTGAGGCGATGGCGAACGTCCTCGTGCGCGTCCGGTTCGCTGTCGCCCTCGCCGTCCACCTGTCGGGCGACACGCAAAGAGTGGCCGGGGCCAAGAGCTCTTTCGACGCAGCGACGCCCCAGGGACGCGATGGCAACGTCTGAAATGCGACTGGGGAATCGGCAGGTCATGGCTAGGTCGGGCCTGTCCCCCGAGAGGCGGATGTTGGACGAACAATTAAAAGTAGCCGAATCAGATTTCAAGATACACAAAAATATA